CTCTCTCTCTCTCTCTCTCTCTCTCTCTCTCTCTCTCTCTCTCTCTCTCTCTCTCTCTCTCTCTCTCTCTCTCTCTCTCTCTCTCTCTCTCTCTTAAAAATATATTTCCTCAAACCTCTTATATCATCATCTTTTCCCTCTTTCCATTAAAACTTTTCATATATTAAACTAACCACATGCTATCTTTCTCGTTCATCAACTACTATCAAATTATCACCGTTCCCATTCAACGTTTCCTAACCTCACTTAATTTTCACAGGTATATTCTTGAACCAACGACACGAGCGTGCTCGTTCGAGCGATCGCCGCATCACCCACACATCCATCTCCCCAAGGAAAGAAGCATCGACCGCTATTCGGTCCCCAGTACTTAATTATTCTTGCAAGTGGCACCGGTGTCTTAATTATCACGCGCTTTCAGCCCTTTTAAGGGATGCCTTTGGCAGAAGTGGTGTACCCGGCTAATTGCATTGCCAAAGAGTACTAAAGGTGGCGTGACAGCGTTGCTTTAATTGAAACTATAACCTTCAGAACCACAAATTCTTTGTCAGATAATCTTATAAGCAAATATTTTTCCAAATTTCCTCTCGTATCGATTCAGTGTTTCAATATTTTTCCAATTCTTTGATGAGATAGTTTTGATGGTTAAGTTAGATTAAGTTAAATTTGTTGGATATATTATAGGATAGATACTGTATTTTCTCTGGTAACAAATGATCATGTGGCAAAGAAGCGTTTAAACATTGCTGAAAATTTTATAAAATCAAAAAGTAGGTATTTTTTTTTTTTTTTTTACTAATAAAGTATTCAAATTTTGTTCACATTTTCTTTTATTTCAGAATTAGCAAAGTTTAATCATATTCAGAAGAGAAATTACATTTGTGGAAATCATACAAGTTCATATTAATTTCACTAATAATAGCAATAATTATAGTAATCTTTGTACTTTTTCTCTAACCTAAAAACAATCGTAGCCGATTACAGTTCTCGAATCTCCCTGTTCGATATGGAGAAAAAAAATACAGTTTCCTTTATTGAGATACAAATAAAAGTATAGAATGGACGAATAGATAAGAAAGAAAACGAATGAAACATTCTTCGAAGGTAGCTACGAATGAAAAGAGAAAAGCAATCGAATGGAAGCAAAGGAAACGGGGTTCACCGCGTGGCAATCTGTCTTCGTTCTTGCGACAGAAAAAGAATTAAAAGAAAGAGAAGGGAATATCGAGCACCATTCAACCGAGAGGTATTCTCGCGACAGAAAAGAGAGGCGGGAGGCCTGTCTTTCTGTGTCGTTTCCGGTTTCATCCCCTCCTTTGAGCTCTCGTCTTTTTCGCGCCACCACCAACTTTTCCACTTGCTTTTCCAAGCCATTTCGATGCTTTTACTTGTGAAAACTTAATTCCCCGCCAGATCTCTTTATGGTCGCCTTCTTCTTTGTAAACACTCCGCTATTTTTGTAAGGAATAAGCATTCTCGAAGAGAAGTTATTCGTCTCATTCCATCGTAACTCAACCATGTGGTTTTTATTTAACCTTCCTTTCTTTCGTATCGATAAATTTACCGATTCGAAATCTATTACGTGTGTACAATGAGAACAATATGGATTATAATCGGTCGAAATGTGTACGATGATGGAATTGTATTGTTAGACCGAATTGTCGAGGAAATGAAATGATGTTGGGAGGATTGATTGGTGATTGGAAGAAATTAATAATAAAAAATTTAGATAGTATTAACATTAAATTTAATGATTTTTTCCAATTTTGATAATATCACTGTAAATGTTTTTTTAAAACATTTTTATTTTAAATAAAATTCGTTTAGTATATTTTTTTTTTAACTCTTCTGAGACTAAATGTTTTACGAAAAAATTCCAAAGATAATGCTTCTTTTTTTCAAATATAAAATAATGAAAATATTGTCAATTTTTGAATTTTAAAATTATAGAAATTGATCAGTTTAAGACTTTTTCTGATATATTTTATTACAATAGTAGTCATCCAACTGCAAATAGAAAATGATAAGTATTGGTAAGGATTAAGAAAACTTTTTAAAATTATTAAAAACTAAATAAAGAGAATTACAAAAGTCAAATATAATAAAGGTAAGTATTCAAATGGTAAGTATTTATAAAATTAAGAAAACTATTAACAAATATTTAAAAAAGAAGAATAGTAAGAGGTAAATAAGAGGTAAGTATTTACAATAAAATTTGGACAAAAATTTTTATATTGTTTAAAGAAAAAATTCCTATTTGTATATTATATTCTTTCAATACAAAATTTAGATTCTGACATAAAATATTTTTGAAATTAAATACATAATACTTACTCATTTTATATTTACCTTGTGTATATTTATCTTCTTATTCTCAGCTACTAAATATTTTTTAATCATTTTACTTATTTCTAATTATTAAATTTCATATACTTATCTACATATATATTTATAACATTTATATATTATAATTTATATATTTATATATATATATATTTATAAGCTATTTAAATTAAGATATTTTGATGAAAAATATATATACGTAATATATAAAAATAGGTAATTTGTATATGTACATAAATAATTATATAATATTTTAAGAAAATTATCCTCTGTGGAAAGAATGAAAGATTAAGAAATAAACTATTCTATTTTATTGTATTGTAATATAAAAGCAGACAGTTTAACTATATAATATATTTTTTTTCTTTCATTATCTTTTCTCATTTGTCTTATAAAAGAAATTGTATTAGTTTTTAACATATGAAAAGTTTTTTTTGCAATCTGAAACACGATAATAATAATAAGTCAATATTTATTATACAAATGTATATAATTGTAATAATGTGTATAATTTGTAATAAAAAACTAATTTTAATTGTACGATTATAAACTAACCTAAAGAGTATATATCATTAACATATATAATAATACATTTACTTACATATGTATATTTTACGAATAAATTTATTCTTTTAAGAACA